TGATGTCATCGCGAAGCAGCCGTACATCGGCGCTTGAATGGAAAAATTGAAAAAATATCGCGTCGAGAAAGCTGAGGGTGCGTAAAGTAGATGAAGGGGCAAGAGTGGTATACAGACCGTTTCCTCTTCTCCTAAATTTTCAGAGTATTAATCTCCCACCACGTCATACTTTTGAAAAATAAGCGTCACGTATACTCGGTTGATTTTTATACGATCAGTGTCGCGTCAACTGCTAGTACCAACGGTCCACTTCTCATAACTGAGAGACAAAATGTACTCTCCTGAAGGAAGTAGCAGCAATAGTTGCAAACGCATGAATTATTACGTTCCACGAGATGAAATTAAGCCGTGCAAGAAACCACGAGATGAAATTAAGCTGTACAAGACACCACATGATTTGTAAGTATCACAAATGTTTCATATATATACATATAATTTTTTTCATATATGTTTTTTCCATGCTATTTCATATTTAATTGTGTTTTTGCGGTAAATGCGGTAAATGCGGTAAACCTCGTTGTATACCGCGTATTTTGGTACGCAGATTTGCTTTGACGCGCACTGCTTATAAATACTTGGATATTGGAATCAGCGTTGGAGTAACATCTTACGTGGAATTACATCTCGGCGATAACCGAGGCAATCAAATCGTATTATCTATTGACACATGGGAATCGCTAATGCTGAAACGAGCGGACGTTAAACAGATTGTACAAACGCCTAATCATGTACCAATATGGATTTACGATTTATCAATTGAGATTGTTAAAATACATAATGCGAGTATTATGAAACTTACGTTACGCGATTCTTGCTTGTACATAAAACCGTCAACTATATTTTTTTATTCGAACTCGAACATTGCGTTAATCATGAATATTTGAAACTGTGTGAGAATATAAAAGCCATAAATGAGAGTTTTGATCGACTTGTCGTTAATTTGCAAGGTAACATGTTTGGTGCCGAAAAAGATGATGCTATTAAAATCTTGCGCGACGTCTATGATAAAACATCTATCATAGATTGCGAACTATTAGCGTATGCTGTGGATGAACTTTTGTCTGAATCCTTGAGACGAGGTGATGTATTTTCATACCCCCCGCGCCGGTTTCCCCTCGCCCCTCACCCCCCCTCAGAGGACCAGGCTTAGAACTCTCTTAGTATCACTACTGTGTCATTAAAAATTAAAACTAAAAAATTTAAATTTTATTATTTACATTTTCAATTGTATATATCCGTCTGTGTATGCGTGTGGTGTGTGAAAGCGTGTATGTATATATATTGTGTACAATCATGTGTATTAATTATTTATATAATAGCGTATGTAAATTATTTTTAAATAATTTGTAAATAATTTTTATTATGTATATTTTTATTTTTTATTTATATTTATATTATATACTTTGTTAACATAACAGCCGCTAGTCTCGAGGATGGTCCCCGGGGTAGGTGGGTCCCAATCACCACGACACAGCGCGTCCTCAGGTTGCGGATAGAAGAACGGCCTCTTTGTCTCGGTTAGGGATAGAGATTAGCTGCAAATAAATGAAATAAGCAGTCGCGGACAGCCGATTGGAAATGGCCCTCTTGTTCGGGTGTTGGGCGTAGGTTTGATAAGCTCACACCGTAAAACGACTTAATCAAGAATCAACCGAAGCTCGTCATGGATTCTTCCGGGGTAAAATTTCAATTCGGAGGTAAACTAGTCCCCCGTTCTGATATCCGGGTGAGGACTGCCTCGGGGAACTCATGCCGCATGAAGTCGAAGAGCGGGAGGGATATAAAAGTGGGGACGTGGACCGTAAGAAGTCTGTACAGACCTGGGGCGTTTCAATCGGTGGTCGGGGAGATCGAGGAGTATGGGGTGGAGATCGCCGCGTTGCAAGATGGGCCGGGGAGGGTTCGCTTAGCGCGGGTTCTTATACACTCCACTACGCGGGGGTCGGAGATCCATAGTTTTGGCGTCGGTTTCATGATTAATAAGAAAATCCGCGGTAAAAAACATTAAATTCTTAAACGAAAGATTGGGATTGCTCGTTGTGCAAGGTAGATGGTACAAGATCGCGATAATCAATGTTCACGCGCCGACGGAGGATAAAGATAACGAAATTAAAGACGGGTTCTATGAGGAACTCGAACACCTCATGGATCAATTGCCGAACGATTACATGAAAATAGTCTTGGAGAATTTTAACGCGAAAATCGGTAAAGAGGACATTTTTAAACCAACGATCGGGCTCGAAAGTTTGAAGGAGAAAAGTAACGATAACGGAGTAAAGGCCGTATTACACTACGGGTTGCGCGCTTGATTGCGGTTGGCGTTACGGTTGACAGTTGCGGATTGATCAATTACACTATAGGTTAGCAATGCCGGCTTGGTTGGCTGTTGTTATTGTCATCTGCTTTTTCATGCTAAATCGTAGCAATGTCAAAAATCATTGGATTAGCTGTAAAAAATCGCAAATGTAGATTCGTGTGTGCATGTCTCTGTTTTTTGTAGCAACTTATCAAAAAAATGTAAATCAAAGCGTTCTGTGTGGACTAAGCCATATTTATTACGAAGAAATTGTAGTGGTATGCATCATAATCTATTTTTTGAACTTGCACTTAAAGATCCGAATCGATTTCGTAGGTAAGACATATTATTTACTAATTAATTAATAAATATATTAAATAATAGTCAGTGAAAAAGTCAGAGAAAAAGTCAGTAATGATCAGTTATATTTAAAAACAATGACAATTTGAGTTACATTTGCAGATGCCTGCGCATGGATAGTGATACCTTTCAATATCTTGTTGAAAAAGTTACATCCTTTATTCAAAAACAAACAACACATTTAAGAAAAAGCATACCTTTTGCTGAAAGGTTTTCTATTACCTTACGACATCTGGCTACTGGTATAATACCTTACCTTACATAAGTATAGATGTAATTCATATATCACCTCTCATGAAATAATTAATTCTTTAATTTATAGGAGAATCACAGGAGTCACTTAGCTTGCAATTCAGAATTGGTCAATGCACTATATCAAAAATAATAAAAGAAGTTAGCGGCATTAATAAATGTCTTGAAGGATGAGTTTCTTCGAATGCCAACATGTGTAAAAGAATGGAAAATCACAGAGATGGAATTTTCATCATTGCATTGGTGCAATAGATGGAAAACATGTGCGAATATATCCTTCTCTCTCATCGGGTTCAGCTTACTACAATTATAAAGATTTTAACAGTATTGTATTGTTGGCTATTGTTGATGCACAATTGAGATTTATATACATTGATGTAGGCACCAACAGGAGAATGAGTGATCATTACATATGGAATAAGTGTAGCCTTAAATCTCATTTATACAGTAATAATCTTCATTTGCCTCAGCCATCTCCACTTCCTGGATATGTCGATAATTTTCTATATGTACTAGTTGGTGATGAGATTTTTCCTCTCACAACTAAATTGCTTATTCCATATCCAAAAAATCAGAGCCGCAATCGGCAGAAGGATATTTAACTACAAGTATGATGTAAATATGCATATTGTGATCCTTGAGTTCAAATTATGAAGTTTTATAAAAATAGATGTTATTGTTAATCGAAGAAATGCAATCATATGTTATATTATTTTTACAGACTGTCACGTGCCAGGCCTTGTTCAGAAAATACATTCGGAGTGCTAGGTGCAAGGTTTCAGATTTTTCAAACAGCTATGAGATATAACCCTGATGAAGCAGTTAGAATCAATGGCTTGTTGCTGTCTCCATAATATGTAATTGCGTAGTTGATCTATAGGTCGTGCCATGTACACCCCATCGGACTTCCTCGATGAATAGGATGTATTAACAGGTCACATAAGATCTGGTGAATGGAGACAAGAACCAGCTAATTACTTAGTACAGTTGTGTCATCAAGCTGGAAACTGCCATACAATTGATGCCTGCGTCCTTCGAGACACTTGGACTACATATTTTAATCGACCTGAGGCTGTGCCATGGCAGCAACGAGTAGTACTTGGTCATAATTCATAAAATATCAATAATTAAAATATAGTACTTGTAAGGTTTATATACAAAACAAGAAAAAAGGGAAATATGCGTAATAAAAGAAAATAATGTTTGTTTTATACATTATTATTTATTGATACCCACCTCATAGCCATACATTTTGTATTTTTTGCTTAGAGATCATCAATAACAATTTATCGAAATTTCAAACATTTATAAAAATAGGAATTTAAGGATTGTTTGCATATAGCATGTTTAATTTTTTTAACTTAGCTCGATAAACAAATATATTTTATGCTTGACACTAAATAATTATAAAAAATAAAATAAACAATATTTTATTATATTAGAATTGTAATAAAATATCACTAGAAAAATAAACTTTGATTGCTTCTTTAGTTGTCTTTGAAATGAATAATAAATGCAAATATGCATTACACGACAAATAAAAAATAAAAAATTCATTATTTTATTATTAAGTATCAATTATATTACACTTTCACTGTCAAAATTTATAAAATTACTTATTGTAAGTGCATGAAAATTGCACAGCAAATATAATTAATTTTTTAAATAAGAAATGTATAAATTAAAACACACATGAAATTAAACAGTTTAATACGGTTCAATGCTACTAATGGTATGTCGTAACCCGACCAAAACGACTCGTGGATTCTAATCCTTTGGGCGTACAAATCCCAAAAGACCTTTTCCTTAGCGGCTAGAGGCACAATAGGTACATGCATATATTTATTCTAGAATATTTGTTATCACAATATACTTAATATCACAATATTTCTCAGTCTATTTGTATATATACAAATATCACAAATAAAAATGAAATAATTCTTATACATAAAAACTGATAAATTAAAATAACAGTATACTCGCATAAACTTAAATTTATACATAAATAATATATCACTACAAGAACATACATAATAACTAACATAATATAAAATTATAACTAATATGTGTAACATATATATATATATATATATAATAGCACTTTAAAAATATTTTTATAAACATAAAATCATAGCCTTTTTAATAGCTGTTTGCCATATATTTTTTTTAAAGAAAAAACATTGCTGAGATAAAAGAATTTTATTGTTTTAACTGATTGCAAATATTACCTGCATTATTTGCTCCTCACAAAACTTTCTGTGCTGAGGGGACAGTTCCCTTAACTTAGCTCCTATGTACGCAATAAAATGATCAACAGTATCCTGAGCAATATGAAAAAGATATAAAAGTAAGGCTCTTACACGATTAAAATCAAGTAAAATCCGAGTAAAAAGGCAAAAGAGCCACGCGCAGTTTTTAGGGCGCAAAGGTATATAATTTAAACCAAAAAATAAATTAAAAAATTAGAGAATTTCTTTAATTACATGATTCGCGAAAGGCGGACGTTTCGGCCCTTTTTTTGTCCATCATCAGCGCAAATAATACTAAACTCAACAATATAAACGGTATACAGAAAGAGTCTTAATCAATTAAAGCGCAGAGTTACATGGTAACCAACGGTAGAAGGCGTAATCCCTCATGTCGCTCCAAAGGCAAAAACCGTGAGCAATATGGTTAGAATACTTGGGAAGAAGTATTGGCTGTGAGGCTATCTGTTTCATTACTTCAACAGCTTCCTCCATAGTAGACTCACTCTTTTTCTTTTTGGATGCTGCTCTTTTTACATAAAGTGCTTCTTTGTCTTCTATGCGTTTTTTTCACTTATAATAGAAGAAGAAGCAGATCTCTCAGGCATTGACATTAAAAGAGGAGAAGTTGATGGTGACATAATTGATAAAGCAGTGGAACTTTCAATATCTTGTTGTGAAAATTTCATTCGTTCTCTCTCTCTCTCCCTCTTTCTCTGCTTGTTCTTTATTGTATTCTTTCATTCCCATTATTATAATCTTTTATTTGTTCGACTTTTATTCTTTCTATTCTTGTTTTCCTACATGATAATAAATAAATAAATTAATCTTTATTTTATAAAGCATAAATAAGATATTGTATATTTTATAAATAAAAAAAGTATTATGTATGTGTGCGTGTGGGTGTGTATTTTTGTATGAGCATGTGTTGTAATTAACTATAGTGAAACGTAATTATGAATTGTATTAACTATATATAGTAAAATAAAAAAAGAAAATAACTTGTATTGTATATCTCATTTATGCTGTATAAAATAAAAATAAATAAATAAATTCTAGAGAGAAGGACTAGAGTAAGTGAGATGCCGGTGCAAAGATTGAGAAAAGGGAGCGATATTTCCTGAACAGAATATGCTAGAAAAATAAAGCTAAGCGATATGCAGTACGTAGTAAGCGAGCGATTAGAAAGAGAGATACAGAGAGAAACAGAGTAAGCGTATGATCGAGAGAAAGAAGATATTAGAAACTGCGATGATGTTAGTGCGTACGTGTATATTACTCTCTCACGCATGAATTAAAGTTTGGTGATTCATCAATTAATTATTGTATATAAAGCAGTAAAAATATATTGTGATATTCTCTCATTTCAATATATGGAACACAATGCAAAAGATTAAGTTTTTTATTATGCATGTTTGAAATAATTATGTTGGTAATGGCGGAACTAAAAATGTCGGTATTATCGACATTTTTAGTTACGTTTAGATGAGGGCGCTAACCCGTCGGAGTTCGCTCGTTGGTTTTGGATCCCCTTAATATGCGATCTACGGATAACGCGTGTTTCGCGTGGGCGGTAGGTGCCGCTCTATATCCGGTCGAAAGACACGCGGAAAGAAGCTCGTGGTATCCTCACTACTCAACGGTGTTGAATCTGGAGGTCGTCGAGTTTCCCATGAGTTTAAACGGGATCACCACGTTCGAGCGTCTTAACGATGTATCCATCAACGTGTATACCGTTCTGGATAAGAAGAACAAGAAAGGCGGCTGCGGTATCGCTCCTCTGCGTCTCACCAACAACAAAAAGAAGAGACACGTCAATCTGTTGTATCTGATAATATTAACGTGGTCAATTGGGATCGTGGTCAATATCAACGTGGTCAATCTCAACGTGGTCAATCGGGACCGTGGTCAATATCAACGTGGTCAATCGGGACCGTGGTCAATGTTAACGTGGTCAATATCAACGTGGTCAATATCAACGTGGTCAATATCAACGTGGTCAATATCAACGTGGTCAATATCAACGTGGTCAATATCAACGTGGTCAATATCAACGTGGTCAATATCAACGTGGTCAATATCAACGTGGTCAATATCAACGTGGTCAATATCAACGTGGTCAATATCAACGTGGTCAATATCAACGTGGTCAATATCAACGTGGTCAATATCAACGTGGTCAATATCAACGTGGTCAATATTCAACGTGGTCAAACGAGACGCTCCCGATGTACGTCGGGATTAGCAACGCGTTGTAAATCGTATTCGTAAAATCCTCCGGCGATGGGATTTCCGCGCGAATCTTCGAGTACATAAGTCACGGGATTAGTTTCCTACACTTTAACGATTTTAAACACTTCGGTCGTCCAATTTGGCGTGTAACCTTTGTCAAAGATGGTCTTGAATTTACTCACA